CAGTTATATATGTATTCTGAGCATTGGATAAATAACAAGTATATGTTTTTTTTTTTTCTTTTTAAAAAGTAAGATTATAATTTCAATATTTTTTTTTAGTGAATTTTATTATCCATCTCCTTAGATGTAACATTTTGATGAATCACGTAAATTATATATCCTTTTTAATTCATTATGCATTTATTATCTCCTATAAGTTATTTATAATAATGATAGATGAAATTTAAAAAAATAATAATTAAAATTCTAAAAAAATATTAATGGGCCATACTTAACCCAACTCGGTTCAAGAAAATAGTGTTGTGCTTGATACGATACAACCCAACAAAATTATGAGTCATACATTGTGCTGAGCTATATTTTTAATCTTTATAAATTGTATCAATATAATACATTAAAAAATAATATTGGGCCAGCGCAATCTATTAATATATAGATTAATATTTAAATGGACAATGTCCATTCAACATGACTTATTTGACATATGAATTAATGTTTAAATAATGTTAGATCAACATAATTCATTAGCATATACAATAATATTTAAATGAATTGTGCCAATCTAGCATAGCTCATTTGATATCTCAAATATATTCATGCCACATTTGTCACACCTTAATTTATGAAAACATATATAGCACGTGGGAATTCCACGAGATTCCACTTGGCATCCACGGCCCATGAATTTTTTTTTTCATTCTTTAAGGGTTTTTTCAAGAACCAGATTTAAAAAAAAAAAAAAAATTGAACAACTTCTCCACACATCAAAACAACTAGAATCCTAGGGAAAAAAACAAACATATTAGGGAAAAAAAAAGTTGGAAAGAAAACCTAAAGAGAATTATAATTGAAATCCTCATTTTCAATTTCTTGATAAGAAAATTCTTAAGAAATTTCGTGATAAAATCTCCACTTTAGACCATACAGAGAATTGCAAGTCCGAAGCATCAAATAGATATTTCAATGATGTTAACGTTTGGCTTGTTAAGAATCTACCAATATTTTTTCTTACCTTCTTTCTGTTTTTTGTCATTTTCTTTGTAGGATTATGTGATACGATAAACCCTTGAATAAAAAACTAAAAATTCCTTTGATTAAGAAGCCTCAGAAAATCAAAATTTAAAGGCTGCAGTGCTTGTTTGAATCTTGCATGTTAGAAGACAAAAGAAATTCTTTATTCAATAGCCGGAGAAAATATTATATAAAAGAAAATTTTTCATATAATATTGTATCGTAATTTTAAATATTATTTTAATTATAATATCTCTAATATTATATTCAATTAAATAATTAATATAACAAAATATTATATTAACATTGTACATCCATAAAATCCAATTTTAGCTCTAGTTAAAGTGCTATTGGAGATGGTTATGCGCAAAACAAAATAAATTATTAGGCAAGTAAAATTTTAGACATAGGTTTTGAAACGTACCAAATCTATTACAGATTACCTCTATATGAAAGTTATAAAATGTGAAAAAGCACCGCATTTTGTAATGTAATTCAACGCTCAACGAGCCTTTAAATGTGCCCAAAAAAAATATAAATTATTACCCCTAAACCAAAGAAGATGTACGTAAAAAGAACGCTATTAATTAAAGCAACTTAATATAATTTGCTATCACTATCGGTTCCTCACTCACCAAAATTGAAAGGACAATCACAGTGTTGTAAACGCAAAGATTATGAAAGTCACATTTCAAAAATTTTAATGAACTGCTACAGACACTTCTTAAAAATACTTTTTAAAGTTAAAGGGTATGTAAAAAGTTTAAAATTAAACGATGTAGTTTTTTTAAGTTAAAAAAAATACTATATTTTTTTTTGCCAAAAAATACTACTCTATCTATTCCAGTTTCTTTTTCATCTTTTCTTTTTGAAATGCTTCAAAATTATGTTTTATTTTGAGCTAAAAGCTTTCAATCCAATTACATCAGTAGAAGCAAAATCAAATAATAAATCAAACACATAAGAAACAACAATTTAACGTGATTCAATCCAATCAACCTACGTCCACGGATGAGAAACAAGATTCACTAATTGTAGAGAATTACAAACATACATCAAATCATCAACCTCATTCAACAATCAATACTTATCAGACACTCTCAATCCTCTTTAGTCTCATGAAGTTCCAAACCCTTGTGCACCATTTCAACATAATCAAACACATACCCATATGCACCCGTACAATATACGTATGTGGAACCTCTTAGTCTCCTCTAGTCCACTTACAAATAAACATACACATCCATAAGATGTAGAATCCCAATACTCTTATAGGGTGTCTATCTCACAAAACCTTACAAATCTCTTACATCTTTTTCTCATACCTAACTTTATAGAGATTTCACATATTTATAACCATACAAACTTGCTCATTAAGAATCTTTTTTTTCTTAAAATTCTTATCTTGTAAGTCAAACTTGTCTATTAAGAATTCCTTTCCTCTTAGAATTCTTCTTTTGCAAGTCTTCTTGTCCACAAGCAATATTTGACAATTCTCAAACAAATCTCTAACAAATCTCAAATAAATATCTTATAAGATTTGAGTCATTTTTTTCAACATTATTTTTTTTTTTTAAGATCTAAAAACAAATACAAAAAAACTTGATATCCGATTGATCGTTCTAAGTTCAAATATAAGAGACAAGATGGTGGTGGTATATATTTAAACACGTTCACGTTTAAGACTACTCATCAAACTTGTGAGTTTAACTCAATTTAGGTCGAGTTTTAATTGTTTTAGGATGGATTCATCATAATAATAATAATAATAATAATTATTATTATTATTATTAACAAGATTTTTAAACATCTATCGGAAATGAAATTTCATACAGGATGGCTAACAAATGGAAATGATTTGTCCATATCATATGGTAACCTAGTTATAGACCAAGTGACTCGTTGAACAGTTCAATAATGGTAAGAGGCAACTTGTGGGGTCAATAGTTGCGAAATTTGATCAACCTTGGGAGGTAAGTTTAATATATAGAAGCGTTAGATGAGAATGTGAATTTTAATGTCTGGCTCAAAGCCAGAACAAAGATTTAATTAGGAGAAGAATTTCAGAAGGGAGCATCACATCCAACACATCTTTCTTTCTCTTTTTTAAAATTAGGGTTTGAGAATCATGGCTGATAAAACATCATTTTTTTCAATCTTTAAACCAACCACAGCGCGCCAACCAAATATCAGTCCAATAGTATATACAACATCAAATTGTGGGTCAAAATGTTTTAATTATGTCTAAAACCAAACAATCTTCTCAAGATTCAATGCCTCTGGTTTTAATTCTAAAGTAATAATGAGCAAATCCCAAAAGTCATCAATTTTTTTTTATCATTCTTTATTGAGTTTCAACTTTTTGAAACGGACCCTTGCTCGTTATTGATTAGTTCATGTCTTGTTGGCCGGAGGCTGATTTTGATTCATTAGAATTAATAAGACCAGCATGATTCATCAATCTTTAACCTTCTGTTTTTAATATTCAGATTGATAAGCATCTTACTTTTAATTAATTGGCAAATAGGTGGAGAGTTATAATTTGAATACAAATTATAAAAAATAAAAATTTTAATGACGTGTGATAATATTCTTTAAATAAATCCTATTACATGTAAATGTAAGTATCACATAATAAACTTAAAAACTGTATAAGAGAAGAATCATAGAACAAACCTGAGCTAAAATATTATGTTAAATATTTAATTTAAAATTAATTTATTAATAGATAGAGTGTCCAATTTGAATTTAAAATTACAAAATAGATATAAGATAAGACAATTTTAACAAGATAATAAATTAAATATTATGGTAATGACTATAGGAGGAATTTTTATCATGGTTAGTTTAACAATTTGGATGATAAGTTATAATTTCTACAAGTATTTAAAACAATATCCTCTCTTAGTTTTGGTAAAAATGGTGCATCAAAACATATTTTTAAAGATGATTAAAAAATGCCTATGACATTCTTTACCAAAAGTTCCTTGTTCCAAAGAGGTTAATTTTATCATTATTATATCTAGATAAACAAAATATTTTATTAGGAGTAATCCAATAATAAAATCTAAATGTTGTGTTATGATATGATTAGGTACATAAGATATGATAAGATAGGAAAAGATGATAGTATGAATAAGATTGAATTAAATAATATTATTTTATCTTATGTTTGATGTGTGTAAAGATTAAAATAGAATAATTTATTTATTGATCAAAATTATTCTTTCTTAAAGTTATACAATTTAAATTATTGATATAATTTTTAAGGATATAATAAGATATATAAGTTTAATCTAATGGATTAAAAATAATCCTCTCTATTTTAAGAGAATTGAATCATCCTATACTAAGGAGATGATTAAACTTTTTTGTAATCTTATCATTTTCTTTAGATACAAACCAAACATAATATCAGATAATTATCATCCTATCTTATCATTCATCATTTGCACCAAACATTATCTAAATATATTGGATAAAGAGAGAGAATGCATTCTTAAAACCATTGAGAAAATTATTATTCCTATGAAATATATAATAAAAATCGTTGATAAACAAAAAGAAACAAAAAAAAACTTATAGATTCTAGGAAATAATAAATTTTCCTTCTATTTAAAATTTTATCATATTCTTGCATCATTAACCATCCATTTGATGAAAACACAATCCATATTCTCCAGATAGAAGCTCTTATAGTGTCAGCTTGGCCCAAATTTTACGGTTGCGTCTTTGCTCTGTAAGACAGAAGCTAGGCTAAAAAGGATTTTAAAATAAAAAGTGCTACTGCTCTGTTTCTTTTTTCTTTTTAATTTTTAAACTTAATTTGAACCCTAATCACTAGAATGAATAATCCAATATTCTACTAATAGATATCATGACTTGTGACTATTATTACTATTTCTTTTAATTGTAAAAAATAAAATAACGAAGTTAATTTATTTGGTTAAAATTGAGAACTCCTAATTGGAGCTTCTGAAAAAGCTGTAATACAAAACAATGCCTAAGAGAGAATTTTCCTATAAATAATAATATTTAAACAGAAATCTTACTCTCAGTGCTGTATTAGCAAAACTGCAGGTGAAATGTAAGATTGCAACAGTTCACCTAATAATATTTCCAGCAAAGAGATTAGAGGATCTAGAAAGAATGGGACAAGTTATATCTTTTCAAGGATTCTAACATGGCTGATCCACATAACACAAGTTTCTTAGGGCTTCAGGCACTGTCTGCCCACATTGCTCAAGGATATCAATCAATGGCCTAGCATGCTGCGCATCTTCTTTAGTTAAAAAGCTATGCAATACACCATTGACTGTGTGCCGTGCCATCCTCGTGAGAATTTGAACATAATCATCAATTGAGACAACAAAATCAGGAATTATTACAACACCATACTGTTCCAAAGCTGTAGAACTGATGTGTTCAATATCAATAATGGAGACTGAAGGTCTCATTCTGCTGCCGCAATCCAGACTGGAGAAGAAAAATACAATCTATCAGTTAAAAATACAAACACCGGCACCAACCCGGCAAACTCCTGAAAACGAACAGTAACATCCATTGAATACCTTGGCTGCAAAGCCAAGTATCATGGACAAAAATAAATAATACAACCTATGTGGTTAAAGTCCAACATGCGAATAGGTTCAATATTGAGAGTCTCCAACAAGCATAAAGCTTTTAAATTCAATCTTCATGCTATTAAGGACTTGAACAAAATATGATTTAGAATTTACCTGTTTTCAAACTCCATAATATGCAAGTAAGAGCTGGCTGAGACCGAATATCCCTTGAATTTGACAGCTGATACTAATTTTTGAACATCATTGTGTTTTCCAACTATGTACAGCACCTTCCAAGCTTGTGGTATTATATAATTGCAATAAGCATTTTCCAAAGCATGAATGCCCTGTAAAAAATCATTATCCACAAGCCTTAGAATATTAGATTATGGAAAACTGAAAGCAAAGTCTTAAGGTCCAAAACAAAGATCAATGCCAAGTGAAACTATTATCATTGTTCAATAAAACATAGTGACCATACAGCGTGCACATCCCTACTTTCCACAACAATCCACCTTGCTTTACTTCTTGTGTCTAAGCGAAAAACAGAGAGAGAGAGAGAGAGAGAGAGAGAAGTTCCATATCATATGTATGATATTTAGAAGTCCAAGGGAGCAAAATGGTAAATAGTAAAAATTACATTAATCCTAGAAAAAAAAGATGATAAAAGGTGATAAATGCACACAAAACAGAAGGACATCATCTACAACAAATTATCAATGGCATCAGATGCAAAAGAATGATTCCCAACGTTGAGAAGGAAATCTAAGGCTCTTTCTAAAATGTTCCTTCAAAGAAAAGCAAAGCCAATTGCAGTAAAATGTTGAATGGTCTAGTCCTACAGTGACTGATAGCCAATGAGTGAGACGAACACAATTCATTAAAGGCACCCTCCTCTTTTTCGTATTTTCCCAGTTCAGAGGTTAAACTACAAACAGTAAAGGCCCGTTTAGAGGGGCACTCAATTTGGCTCCTACCATACTGACCACCCTTCCAAAGAAGTACCAGGTTAGCTTCCCCTTCCTGATTAGCAATACCATGTTAGACTCTCAGCCCAATCCTCACATTCAAAGCATAATTTGGCCGACTAGTAAAGTGAATAATGTGGCAAGGACACAAGGTTAAAACCTTTAGAATGTTCTGTCCTTTTTATAATACTTTCAAAAATAAAAATGTCAGTTGTGCTTCAATAAAGTACGCTTTCAGCATGTTTGTGCAATATTATCACATTTGAAATCAATAATTTTCAGATTTTGAAATCATGTCTGACATTTCTACCATCACTCAATATTCAAACCACCTCCACAGCCAATATCAATTTCTAATATGTGACTAAGCACTCCTTTTTTATATTTTTTCCTAATTGAAAACCATAAATTAAATAGTCTTACTTCATGAGGCTTACGCCTCACTTTGCCCCTTTCACTATGGAAACAGTGGTCTGAAATCTCAACATAGCAAGAGCTTGCATTAGCACCAGAAATCAATTTTCTTTATGGGATGGTAGGGGAGAGGCTAAAGCATATAGAGAATGCTAGAGGGGCAGTTTAATGTTTGACACATTTAATGCTAAACTATGCTAGGGGTTGCACTATTTAGTTCAAAAGGAAAATCAAACCAATTGATTAATTCAATTCAGTTTGATTAAGCTCATACTTGTATAAATTTTAGCTTTAGTTTATAGAGAAAATGAAAAATAACTTTTCTCTTTCATATGATACCCAAACCAAACTGAAAATCAGAATATTATATTATTATGTGCATGATTAACTGTTGCATTGAATTATTTAAGGGTTTTCCCTTTTATAAATTGATTGAAATGAAAAAATTCAATTCAATTGGTTTTCAGAATTTTAAGTACAAATTTGGATGATGCAGAATTTTAAGTACAGATTTGGATAATTCAATTCGGCTATCTCTCTCTCCCCCCAAAATTTGGATTAGATTACTGAGTTTTTCCTTTTTCTCTTTTGGGGGGTTGAGGGGAGAGAAAGCTATATATATATATATATATATATATATATATATATATATATATATATATAGAGAGAGAGAGAGAGAGAGAGCCCAGATAAATGGTTGCCTTCAAAATCAAACCAATCTAATTCACTTGGAGTCTCTGTTAGGGCTTAAAGATTGGCCTGATTCAGTTTGCTTTGGTTTTAAGAAAATTTTAAGACCAAATAAATTTTGGTTTGTCATTTTATAAAATAAACCAAACTGAAATGATAAAAGGATTTCAGCGACACAAAATACTATCTTAGGCGGAATGCAAGAGTTCAAATACATTAAAAACCTACCTTCCTTATCTTTTCTTCCTTTGAGGAGCACACATGTATAGACTGGATGATGCAAGCACTTTGACTGGCAACAGAATCATTGAGAGATAATCTATAGACTAATCCCTTGAGCAGATTTTGCACAGCAGAAATAGAAGCATTACTGAAGGACTTGCTGAATACCAAAGTATGGGGTTTTCCTGAAATAGCCTGCTTGATGGACTTTATGGTTTTGAGAAAACAACCTCCAGAAAGTGACTCCATACCATCAATAACCTGTTCAAGAATTTAATTACCAGACAGTAAAATTTTAAGATTTTAATGAAATGTACATTTAAGGCCATTAAGGAAGCTTGATAGAAAACAAAATTTTTTTTCATAACATAAATACAAACAAACATATACATAGATCTCATGTAGAGGAAGAAATTATGGGAAAGATATTCAAATGGATGTAATATTAAACTTCCTATATGCGATCCATATAACATTAAAATGAACTTGAATTACACTATTCCTCATGCACAACCATGAGTCCATGACATCATTTGAACATCTAAATATCTAGCAGAGTGGAAGAAATGTCGCTAAAGAAAAAAAATGACAGGAGAGATTTCACAAAAAAGGTTAATAAGACTGAACCTAGTTATATAAGCGTCAATGACTGTACATATTGGCCACTGCTTAAGAAACTTGTTTAAATAAATAACATTACAATTTGATCATTGAAATAAAGTAGCACATTATATGAATAAGTGAAATTTCAAATTATATACAGTTTACCAGCATTGAGACCCCAGATATATCTATGGCCTTCAAAGAAACTAGCTGCCAAAGTCTCTCAGGTGTTGAAATGAGAAACTCAGGTTCACAGCTCTGCAGGCTACAGAACAAAAACACTGAAATTGAGAAGAAAAAAAAAAGAAATATTTACAAAAAAAGAAGCACATTAATCCTTTCCAGCAGAAGATATAAAGAGTTAGAGTATATTTACCCACTGATCTGATGGTCTATGGAAGCACCCGGGTGTAAACTTACTGTATGTATGCCTTGAGCTTTCAATGGCTTGCAGAATGAACGTACCTGAGCACAATGAAAAAAAAAACTATTAAAGAAATAAATGAATTAATGAACAAAAGATAGACATACCACATCAAAAGTATAAAAGTAATATTTGTTTTAGAATAATTGAATTAGCAAAAAATAAAACATTTATTCAAAAATGATCACATTCTTGTGTATTTCTAACATTTGAATTTAGGTTTTCATTTAATAATAAAATATTAAGAAGTGAAACAGAAGCCACACCGCTCCCTTCTATCCAATGACTTGACATTAGCCTCAGTAAGAACAGGCCTATCATAGTAAATTATGTCACACTTCCAAAGATACGAGATAAAGATTACAGAAGAACAATTGCTAAAAAAAAGGTCATTAACCATAAAAACCAACGAATAACCATGTACCAAAAAAGGATAGAGACGATCATACAAACCTCGAGAGCTTTTTCTTTGGATGACACAAGGAATAGAAGGAAAGGACTAGTGAATGAAAGACCTTCTTTCTCTCGCCTTGAAATAGCATCAGCAGCAGTTGAAACTACCCATGCAATTTGCTCTACATCAGAAGATGACCCACTTGTATCAAGTATATCTTTTCCAGCTGAATAACATTTCCAGAACTCAATACCCCATGTGTTTACAAATAGAGGCTTGTCCTTTTCGCCATTGTAGGTACCATCATGATGCAATGCATCCTCTATTGCCTTCAGGCAGAGTATAAGATACTTTGATGGACAATCAGAACTTTCACAGGATTGTTCCTGATGACCATGGACACTGACCTCTCCATCTGGCTGAATCCCCATTCTTCCTGAGTTTATATGTCTAGTCTTCCCAACATTACTAATCAATGTAACTGATTTTTTATGTTCATCCTTCAAAGCCATTACCTTTTCGCTTATCTTTCCCAAATTATCTGCTTTCCCATTATCCCCAAGAACTGATCCATTTGTGGGTACAGTGTCCTTCCCCTTGGTTGAGATTTTCCGATCCAGTTTTGAAGGAATAGTTTTGTTGGTTTCCCTTCTACTGAGATCCTTTTTATCAAGTCTATCATTGAAAGGATCATCAGGAGTAGGAAGGCTAAAACACATCCCCTGCATAACAAAATGTTAAGGTCCACTAAGATACAAGAGAATTATGCATCACAAATAGGAGAAAAAATTGAAGCCGGCTAAAATTTGCAAGGACTTTCCTCTACCATATCATCCTGAAAAATCTTTTAATTTATCAAAACAAACCATGCCAGCAACCTACTCTGATTTAGCAATTTATTCATGTGTCATCTCGTTCATATATATACTTGCATATAGATAGATAGATATAAAACTTATTATAAGCCCTAACTTAATTAGTATAAATTCCTTTCCAATAGCACTTGTAAGAAAAGTATGCTAATGACCAATTCACTGGTCATCCTCCATACACATTTTACGCGTCATAGGCAACCAATTCATGTCATCTACATCTAAATTCTCCCACAAATGCTACTCAAAACCAAAATTTAAATAATTCCCACGAATAATTTTTCTACATTTCCCACTTCTGAGTCAGGCATTTAAATTGAAAAAAAAAAAAAAACATTCATGAGAAATTTCCATATCTTCAGCTTACCTAATTCAATACTATATCCTATGATAATCAAAATTTTCACTTAATCCCAAATTTACAAATTACCCATCGCGTAAGTTTCACTTGAAAAAAATATTAACCAAATTTAACCCCAAAAATGAGAAAAAATAAAGAAAAATAAAAGAGGAGTAATATAAGTGTCCTTAGAATACCTGACAGATGCGGCGTTGACCAGCTTTTCGACGCTTTTTGGCAGCAATAATGGAGGCAATTTGAGCTGATACACTTGAAGAGTCATTTTTCCGATTTAGCTTCTTTCTTTGTGCCTTGTTTTTCTTTCTTCTCACTGCATCATCTCCTTTAGCCATTAAAATTAACCAAAGAAAAGCTACCAAATTTCAAGCCTTTATTTTAAAATCTCCTTTTTTATTTTTTTTTCAATAAGTGAAGAAGGAGCAGAGCCTTTTTGTTGCAATGAAAATAGAAGGGCCGGCGGGTCTAAAGTCCTGCTGGGGTTTATGTGCCTTTTGAGGTGGGGCGATGGTGAAGTGGCATTCTTGGATATTTCACACAAAAGTAAAGGTCAAATTGGTAATGGAGAAATTTCTCATGATTGGGCCTTTAATTGGCCTAAAGAATTTTGGGCTCTGGTCATTCGACTCGCCTTTCATTTTTGAGGTAAAAACTTGCGAGTGTATTTCTAGTTCTAGGTCTCCAAGGAACATACGAACATTGAAATTTGTGTGAAGCTACATTTTTTTAACTACAAATTTGTATGAAGCATTTTTTTTTCTTGTATGAAGAATTTTTCTGATAGTAGTCCAAGCAAATTCACTTTTTATAGCAGACTTTAAAATTTTAAATATGATTTGATAATAAGATATAAAAATAATACAAAAAAATATATGAAATTGATATATTTAAAATTTTATAAAAAATTATAGTATATAAATTTAGTAAAAACAAAAAAAAATTGTATTATATTTGAAATATCAACACGATTTAAATACAATTATTTTTATATTTTATGTATCACATATATATATTATATTATAACATAAAAAGAAATCATGTTAAGGTTACCACATAGATGCTTAGTTGGATATCTTTTATCTTTGAAACATAGATAATACCTATTATAAATTATTTAAATTCGAATATCAAAATTTTCAAAAATAAAATCTTACCCAAATTATCTATAATTAATTCTTTATAATTTTTTCTTAAAAATAAAAAAATCTCAATAAGTTGTAAAAAAAAATATAAAACTTAAAAAAATTAATCTTACTTGATTAAAATTTTACCTAAATATATTTCTTTTTAAATTTAAAAATTTTAAATGGATATTTTTATTTTGGTAACCATTTTTTTATAATTGTTTAATTTTTTTAATTCAAAAACACAAACATCATTTATTATATATATTTTTTAAATTCAAAAGATAATTATAATCAATTTATTTTGATTTGATGTCTTAATTATAATATATATATTATATATTTTAACATGTAAGTGATTAAATAGTATTAATTTATATTTTTATACATATTTATATAAATAAAGATAATTCATACATCATAGAGATACTAATTTAATATTACATACAAAATAAATTATACGAATTGTCAAATCTATCTTTTTATTTTAATTAAATCCTTCCATAACATTGAAATTTTTCCCATTTGAAAAGTGACTGCTTGATTTCCAGGCGGTTGAGGTTGCTTTCCTGCTTTTTCTTTAAATGTAAAATGTCCATGCATTCATTGATATAAAAATCATCATTTAAGAAATTAAAACAAAATAAAAACAAAACAGATTCTATCATCATTCATCACAATGCATGGAACCCAGTCCATTCATACGGGGTTTTGGACCAGAATTAAAAATAGAAATGAGAAAAATGAGAACCCATCTTCCAACTACCCAAACGTAACTGAAAGAGAAATGGAAGGAGAATCCAAACAACTCTCCAGAAAAGCATGATGTTGGAGCACTTTTTGTGCTTAACTCCAGAGCTAAGGTAAAAACCATTAAATTGATGGGCTTTAATACGTTTCTCTTAACCATTTATTAAAGTCAAGTGCTATAATAATGGTGTAGGATCATGGTTACATTGTGGATACCACTTGACAACATTAATTGTAGCTCCAGCACTTTTGAGTCTTCCAATGCTTTATGAGCTGGTTTGCTTGTGTGATGTGTCTGACAATCGCAGGTCTTGTTACATTCTATGCTTATAATCTCTTGTCACTGGTTTTAGAGTACCACGGTCAGTTTGGGCATCGCCAGCCTTGGATTCGGGACATGGCGACTGATCTATTAGGTTGGTTGAATACTAAGTATGTTGATCAGCGGCTTACAAATTTGTTTTACTTCTGCAATTCCACATAACATTAATTTTGATGAGGACCTCTTGATCAGAATTTGCGAAATGGAGAAGATTTTAATGAGTTAATGGTTGTAATTTACACGCTCGCGATGGGGCAGATACTTTGTTGGTCCAATCCAGTTTGGTTTGGGCTTATGCTATGGTGCAGTCATTGCTTGTATCATGCTTAGAGGACAGAATCCGAAGGTCAGTCTGACTATGATGGTTAGTTTTACTTCCAGTCAATCTGATGCTTAACTGAATATAGCAAAATGACACAAATCAGATGAATATCCCATCCTGTCCTCAATAGATATATGTTATTATTGGTTTTAGCATTATATTTATCAGTTATCTAGCTTGAAGGAGAGGATACAACTCTACCAATTCGTTATTGTTTTGTGTCCTAACGCTAATTCTAGCCCCAATCCCATCCTTATACTCCCTGAGGCATATCACCATGATTTCTCTAGTCCTCTGTCTTTCATATAGTGCATGTGCAGCTGCTAGTTCAATATACGTTGGCAAGAAGTCCTCGAACAACTGAGATACTGGCAGTACCTTACTGAAAGCATCATCTACAAGTAAAAGTGAGTCATTCTCAGGAAATTTTAAGAATACACATGCAAAGGACTATTCTATGGAAGGAAGGGCATTTAGCAGATAAATTATTTCAATCTGTTGGATCATGTAGTTTTTACCATTCAGGTCCGGACCATATTCTTACAGGGCTTGCAAAAAAAAAACTCAAAGTCATAATTGAAGGCAATTGTGGCACATTGTTTCCTCTGGCTAGTTTTGCTTATGATTTTATACTAACATGAGAATTTTTTACAAAAGAAAATTGATGAAGGATTAAGCTCCAGCTTTGGGAAATTTTGACCAAATTAAAGCAGTCTAGAAAAGCTGGAAATAGTCTTCATTTCATTATCTAATTGCCAAACTCCAATGGTCCTTTCTGGTTTATTTGCAACCGACAAATGAAGCACATGAGGGCGAGTTTATAGGTGCACAGATCTCCATCCGAAATAATGTACCCAGATTGGTTTGCAGGTCATTTTCTGTGGTCATGGCAACAACTCTGGCTGCGATGTATCCTTGTTTCGGAGCTCTCAATGTTGTAATTGGGGTATTTGAATGCATACCCTTCATTTTGTTTTGCCAATGGTCTTCTACAACGTTACTTTCAAGCCCTCTAAGTAGGGAATTTTGTTACGAGAGAACAAATTGATTGCCACAATCTTTTCAGCTTTAGGGGTATTGGCGGCGATATCCTCAATTCGGCATATTGTTATTGTCGTAACGGTTTTGTGTTCGTCCGACGAATTTGAAAACAAAATAAAAAAAATAACGAAGTCGTCACTAATCTTTTTTTGGTTAGGTGCGATTGGCCATCTATTAAAACATATCATTTTAATGAAATCTTAAAATTAATTAAAATTTATTAAAAAAATAATTTTAGGGTCGCGCAATAGTCTGGGTTCGGGAGTCGGTTACGTGTGGGAAAGGATTAGCACCCCCATAGCGCCTGTTTAAAACAGTACTAATTAACTATGTGTTATCCTTTGATTTTGATAAAAAATAATCCTATTTTCAATATTTGAAAATTAACTTTCTTGATTTTTTTATTTTTTATTTATTGTCTTTATATTCAAATATTATTCGAGAACAATAAATTAGAGCCTTTTATTGAAATAATTTTTAAAATATTATAGTGCATTGGTAACATTAGAAGAACTCTTTTTCACCTAGAGATTTCTTAGGCATCGCTTCTCGAAATACCTTAAAATCTCATCTTTGGAGGTCTGAATTTACTTTTTGTAAAAAATTATGTCATGTATGCAATACAAATAATAACATATTGATGCACACATTTTATTCTCTTTTTTTTTTAAATTTTATTAATTGTTTTATTTTTAATTTTGAAGAAAAAATTTTTTTTATTGTATTGAAGTTTTTCTATAAATATTTTAATACACTGATAATATTTTAAAAAAGTCTTCTCACCTTAGGGATTTCGTAAAGCATCATTACTCAAAATATTTTTAGAATCTCATTATTGGATAAAATTTTTTTTTCGTTATTTATATTATTATTTTTTAATATATTAATTAATTTTTATTATTTTATAAGAAAAAAAATTTTATTGCATTGAAAATTTTTTTATAAATACTCCAATACACTGGTAGTATTAAAAAAAATCTTTTCACCTAGAGATTTCATATGTATCACTACTCGGAGTACCTCTAAATCTTATCATCGGATAAAATTTTCTTTTTTCTTATTTTTTATTATATTAATTAATATTATAAAACAATAGAAATTTATTTTGGTAAATTTAAACATTTTTACATAAATAAATATTAATAATAATAATTAAAATAACAAAAACAATTTATAAAAAAAATTCAAAAAAATTTTTTTTTACCTGAACCAAATTGGTCAATGATCCGGTCAAAGAGGGTTTGGACCGGTTTGATCAGTTCGATGCTAGTCTAGTCTGGTCTGGGCGATTCGACGGTTCAGCGACGGTCTGGTCCGATTCACCTAGATTGATTGAGGGTCAAAAGAGAGAACGAGTTGTCGGGTCGGTTACGCGGATCCAGGGTCGGGTTGCGGGTCGACGCGCGGATCCTCAAGTCTCAAAACGACGTCGTTTTGGGCGTTTTATTGAAACGGTGTCGTTTTGGCTATTGGTTTTCTATATAAAAGTTAAAAAAAAATTTCATTCATTTTTTCCTTTCCAGAAAAAAATATCCTCTTTCCTTTTTTTTCTCGACCAAACACAGGTGGTCGACCGGCTGTGCCTTTGCCGTCATCGTTGCCATTCGTCGGTCACCGACCGTCATCGCTGGTGGTTAAAAAATCTTAAAATCTCCCAAATTGTTCCTTAAGAGCCCCTAAGTCCAAATCTGAGCTTGATTTTTTTTTAAAAAAAGTTTCAATCGATGTTGATCTAGCTTAGAAGTTTTCGCCAAAAAAATTTTTTTTTTGTGTTTTTATAGGTGTATTTTGGTGCGGGGTTCTTCGTTCCAGGGGACTATTTCTGTTTTTTTTTTTGTTTTTGGAAAAAAAATCTTTTGGACAAAAAGCTCTTTTTTTTTTGTAACATTTTTTACAGTTTTTTTTCTTTTCTATTTCCTCTTTTTGTTTGCAAATAACAAGCTCTATTTTATAAAGTTTTTTGGGATTCAAATCCCAGATCTTCTGGGATTCAAATCCCATTTTTTTCAACTGAAAATTCATGCTTGTCATGCGTGTTAGGCGGCTGCCGGTGGTGGCAACCGCTGAGATTGTAGACTTTGGTGATAGTGCATTTAATGCACTAGATCTTGTCAAGCCGAATTGGATATGAAAAGAAGC